ATATATATATATATATATATACATATATATATACATATATATATACATGTATATATACATGTATATATACATGTATATATACATGTATATATACATGTATATATACATGTATATATACATGTATATACATGTATATATACATGTATATATACATATATATATACATATATATATATATGTATATATACATGTATATATACATGTATATATACATATATATATATACATATATATATATACATATATATATATACATATATATATATATATATATATATATATATATATATATATATATATATATATATATATATATATATACATGTATACATATATACATATATACATATATACATTTATATGTATATATGTATATATAAATGTATATATATTTATATGTGTGTATGTATTATATGTATATATGTGTATATATGTATATATATGTGTATATATATATATATATATATATATATATATATATATATATATATATATATATATATATATATATGTGTGTGTGTGTGTGTGTGTGTACATGTATATGTATATGTATAAGTATATGTATATGTATATATATTTGTAAATATATATATGTATGTATATATATATGTATATATATATATATATATATATATATATATATATATATATATATATATATATATGCATATCTATGTATGTATATGTATATATATATATGTATGTATGTGTGTGTGTGTGTGTGTGTGTGTGTGTGTGTGTGTGTGTGTGTGTGTGTGTGTGTGTGTGTGTGTGTGTGTGTGTGTGTGTGTGTGTTTATATATATATATATATATATATATATATATATATATATATATATATATATATATATATATATATATATATATTCCCTATCATGCTAAGTCTATGTTTACAATTAGGTTAGATAAATACAAATCAAGATATATATATCTACTCTAAGATGTTTAAACTGAACAGATTACAGAAGCTGGGCATTAATCATCTTAGAAAAGGAAACTCCATACATCTTTGAATACAATACTCTCCTTTACTAAGACCTCACCTATAAGAAAAAAATGTCTTTTTGCAGAATCAAATCCTTCTGCATACACCTGTATTACTTTTAAAGAAGCTTATTAACTTATTCAGCTTAAAATCATCACAATCATAAGTCCCTTTTCTAAGCAGAGTTCTTCAAATTATCAATATCTTTTCTGATCACTTTGTTCTATCATTAACTTATATTTTTCTCGTTGTTATGATGCTGATCATCATCATCCCAGAAATGACGGAATGCATGTGGTAGTTTTCATAATTAGAGCCAATTTCTGTGGAATTAATTCTGAAAACTGTCTTAAAGGTGTATGTGAAGATGTAATTCTAGCTGAAAGTACAAGCAGTGAGTAATGTGCAATAAACCTTCCTGAACATATTACATTACAAATTATATAGAAGTGTTCCTTTGTTTCAAACTCAAAGGAGACTTTACTTCTCCCATAAACAACAGTGCTCTTCCTCTAAGAAAAATAAATGAATAAATACAATTGAAAATGAAGTGTAATGCAATTCCTTCCTAAAATATGTAATCATATCTATAAGAAATAAGATTGCCTGTTGTCATTTCTAAAGAAGTGCACTGTATGTGAAGTTTTTATCAATTTACCTACAATGAAATCTGTCATGTCTAAATGTATTGCTAACACATGTATATAAAAGCAATCTATGCATGGTGATCCTTTCCTAATCTGGCAATATTTATCTATATATCAACCTATATATCTAGGATAGTTAAACAACTAATCTAAACCTCATCTAACTACTTGCATGTGTCCTAGAAACAACGGCACTAAATCATCTTTTCTTAAACACTAATCAGACTACTTATTCTAAGATAAGAGGGTCTTTTATGTGTCTGTGTACTTGGCACTGCTCTAGAAACCAACATTACAACACACAACAATCAGACATTCAGGGCTCTAGGTAGAATTAAAAAATATATATATATTTTTAAAAAAATCTATTCCTCATCTATTTTGTCTCCAAGATGCCTGGAATAGTTTTAATTTCATTGCAAAACACAGAATGTCACAGCAAAGTCTAATCAATTGGAGGGATTAGGGGAGAGAGAGAAAAATTGTTATTCAAGAACTTTTGTTGTGACCAACTGTGGGCAATGAATAAGGGATGCATCTAAGATCTAACAATGTGGCCCTTGTAAATCACAGGAGAGGCAAAGAGGGGATATATAAAAAGGACTTTGGGGAACTCCAACTCCACCTTATAGACTACTGTTGAACTGATTCATCAAAACAAGTTCTTCGGTGAATTCCCTGGACAGAAACTTGAGGAAGGTAGTCTGAGTGATGAATGTACGTAAGATGTGACTAAATGACTTGAACATGAGACTAAAATGTTCATCACAATGCTAAGACAATAGCTCTTTTAAGAAACTTGTGTGGTAGATATATGCCTTACTAGTTCATCTTTTTATTTTCTTAATCAAAGCATAGAAAAAAAAAAATCTTACAGGAAATACTGATAGGATGGAAAACCCCTTCCTTATATGCAACTTGTAGAGTTGGTCCTGTTCTATTCTATAGTACAACACTGATAATCTTCTATGCAGGAGGAAGACAACAAAAATCATTCTGGGTGATTTAGGGAGGTCGGCTCCATCTTGACTAGGGGAACCTTCCTCTATCTGTCTCATCTATTCAACTGCTGGTAAGCACGAGTACGACTACCAGTTCAACTACTTCACTGACTAACTAAAATCGTTTGGCATTCCTCAACATAGAAAGTATAGATTTGCTAACCCATTCACAGAAAACAAAAGATAGGAGGCTTTTTTTTTTTTCTTTTTTCTTTGCTTTCTATATTCAAATACAAATTGGCCATATCTACCCTCTGATTTTCTTCCAGTTCATCCTTGACAAAGTTAACTTCTGTATCTACTTCTGCTTAGAAAAACTTTATCATTTCTACAGCAAGAGCATTTCTTAGATTTTTAATTAAAATTGTAGTCTCTCATCTCACAGAATGGGAGACTGCTATACCACACTAATTAAACCATATATCACCTTAATTTTTTTTTAATATACATTCAAGAAATTTTGTCTTTGTAGTCTAACACAATAGCACTAGGCACAAAGCGTAAAGTTGCTCTCTCTGTTCTTTTTTAATCTATCATTTCCTAGATTCCTCTATTGACTCATCGGATTACGTCTCTTGCTATCCGCAATGTCCTGATTCATCTGAGCTCCGATTATACTGCGCATCCCGTTGCAATGCATTGTAGGTGATTACAGTGAAACAGTGAAATGTAGCAGACATCACGGCTTAAATCTGTCTCCATTTGTGGGTTCACTTGAAAAAAAATAAAATAAAATAAATAATGAGCTGTTCAGACATTTTTAATCATTATGTTTGCCATAAAATTCATCCTTCAACTGTGAATTTGTCTGGTAACATCAACATCTGAAATATGAATCTCTAGTTTATTTGAGTTTATTCTCTGACATTTCTCTCTCCTTTTATTAAGTCTAATAACATCAAAACAAATTGCAGCTCAAGTTTTACCAAGTGAATCCAATTCAATTTGGGCTTTTTATGTCTCTTTCTCTTTATGGAGTACTTCTACCATGAGATCAATTACATTAAAAGCTGTGATATGCTTCAAAACTTCATTAATACAACCTATTCACATTTTACATTCCAAACTAATGCCTTTTACAATTCTTGGCAACTTTCAAGATTCTCAAATTCTTATGTGACAATCAAAATTTAAAAGAAACTTTATTCCAACTCTGAACTACTCTATGTTGATTTTTTTTTCTTTCTGTAACATTCCCCCCCAACCAGCCTTCTAAAGAGGATTTCAACCAAAGGATTAGTCTGACCATAAGTATCTCCTTTCCCTGGTTACATTATTCTCATTTTTCTATCTTTATCATTCAACTTCCTTTCTTTTTTCTTCCTTTAATCTTAAAAAAAAAAAAATCTCTTTCATCTGCCTTGGAAAAACTACATTCCAAAAGTACATATCAAAAGACAGTGGAAGCAAAGACATTGCAAAACTTTCCAAAACAGAGAGCTCAGAAGGAGAAAGACAGAGAGGGAGATCTGAGACGGAGAGACAGAGAAACGGACAGAGACAGAGAAAAACAGAGAGAGACAGAAACAGAGAAACGGGGAGACGGACAGACCCAACATGTGCGTGAAACCCGCTGATCGCAGCACCCGAGAGGGGGAGAAGCACATGAGCTCAACATCCAACATGACAACATTGAGAGACCCGTGCTCAGTCCTAACAGCAACACAAAAAACAACTTCCAACAAGGTCTGGTGGTGTGGATCATCTGTTGAGTCACCAGCTTGGAGGGAGAACAGACACAGAGTGTTTACTAACCAAAGGAAGCACACAATGACTTGCGCAAGAGAGGTGTAACGGCTGCACAGTTAAAAGAAGTTTTATTTCTTTTTAAGTACGAGGAATCTTTATCTTTTTACTCTTTTTACAGACTTTCCAAAAATGTGAGACAATTGGCACACTCAGGATAAAGATTAGGACAATGTACAGTATTGTTTTACTATTGTTAATTTTTCCTTTAGTCTTTTATGAGGTCTATGTACTTCCATCTGATGAACTGATAGAGAGACAAATAACACTGCAATTAATCAATGCATTTCTCAAAAGCTCATGGATAAACTTTAAATTAAACACTCCAGTAATAAATACTGTACATCTTTGTTTTACACTAGTAAAGACTACTGCTAAAGAGTGTTGGATTTTAGACAATGAAAACACCAAAGAAATAGTTGTACTCAAAGTGAAGTAGGAAATTCATCTCAGCTCATGAAAAAAAAGTATATATATATATAAAATATCTCTATATATACACAACCTGTTCTGCCTCCACAACACTCACACCAAGGATTTATAAATATATATAAATATAAATAAAGATTTTTTTTTTTTTACACACACTGCACAACCACAGGCAGACAACAATTCCTACCTCAGAGTCGACATTTGGTGAGAGCTCTTGGGGGTCATAGTCATACATGGCTATCATCTTCTTGACAGGCATGTTCGCATAGATGTCCCCCCAGCGGTCACCCTGGTGTCGTCGGCCCACTGAGCCATCCCTCCTTCGCCGTCCTCCATCTGACTCTTTTAGCAGTTCCTGGGCCACACGGTCGTCATCAACCTGCCGAGAGGGTCTTCGTCAAGGATTTGTGGAATTTTGCAGGAAAAGATATATATATTTTTTTTTAATAAACTCATGGAAAGTTACATAAAGAATTCTATGGTAAATATACAGAGGAAAATTTAATGAAGCCATTTATCTAACATACAGCATTATCACACAAATAAGACAGCAAAGAAAAGAACAAGGTATTGGTATATTCATGTGTTTTCTTGCTCTTCCCTTCATTGTTTTATTTACTATTTGTCCAGCATGAATCCCTCACAGTTTATCATGTACATTGAAAATCATGTCCTTATTGTTTTGAGAAATATTCAGCCAACATCATTCTTTAATGCAACACTATGGTTAAAACGTAATGTGAATACATATGGCAATAAATTTTCCACTAATATTTCTACAAAATAAGGAAATTTTTTAGGAAATCATAAATTTGAAGTTATATGACTATTCTTCTTCCTGTGCAACTCAAAAGACAAAAACAATTATAAATCCAAGAGTAGTGTGTCTGTTCCTTACTGCACACTACAAATGGCAACCATGATAGTAGAATGAACAAATTTAATCATTCACATATCTTGTCTAATCTATTGATATCCTCTTTACTGTATTCACAAATGAATGTTGTTAATATGCAATACTACTAATTACCGGCAATATAGTACTGTAATGTGCTTACTACACTACTGATATACGTGTAACAACTTATTAAAACAAAACTAGGAATAGCAATAGTAATAAATATACAAAGCCCCCATAAAGGAAATTACTGCATTATTATAGCAAACAACTTTGATCCTAAAAAAAAAAAAAAAAAAAAAAAAAAAAAAAAATCACAAGCTCAATTTGCAATTACAACTCAAAAAAGTGCTATTTTTTTGGGTTTCCATACAACTCCAAGTGATACTCGTATGCAATCAAGTTGGTGCTATTTTTCTTTTGTTTCTTTTTTTCTGTTATATAACCGAATTCTTCTTCTTACCCCTGTTATCGCTTTTGTGTTAGTCGCCTGCAAACAAAAAAAGAGCTGACAAATCTGAATTGCACAGAATGAATTATAAAAAAAAGCTTAAGAATTAGCCTACTTAATTTATCCATTCAGTCTTTTTAATCATTATATCTTAAAAATTCAGTTTCATTTACGTCATTAACTTATTTTCTCTCCATCCGCGAAGTCCGACGCAAAAAGCCTGGCATCGCTCCCAAGATAAACTGAACATTAATAGAGCATAGTAATCATTACCAAATATCGGCTAGTTGGCTAGTGACGTTAGATTTCGCCGGCTCCACGACCTGCCCGCCGGAACCACTCTCCCCTTGGCCTTTCTCTTCCCCTCGGTTCAATTCCCGTAAGCTGTCATTCCTCTTGTTTTTTTGCCGCTAATGAAATAAATTTAAATAATCAATCAATTCTCTTAGTTTTAATATATTTTGAGGGTGGAGTGTGTGTTTATTCAACGCCTACTAGAGCCCGCTTGTTGCCATGTGGTGCATGTGAGAGCCCCGACTTTTGGCTTCTTGGCTTCTAATATGCTTTGCTCTTTCCCGTAAGAGGGATTAATGCTAGATACTTAGCGTATTCACAAAAAGGGGCGACCTCATGCGCGTTTCATCATTGTTTCCCGTCACGAGGTTACGGTTCGTCTTGTCTCTTTCCGATAGCTTTTCTCTCTCTCTCTCTCTCTCTCTCTCTCTCTCTCTCTCTCTCTCTCTCTCTCTCTCTCTCTCTCTCTCTCTCTCTCTCTCTCTCTCTCTCTATTACTTTCTCCGTTTCCTCCTCATTCTCCTCCTCCTTCATGAGGTCTTTTCTCTCTTCGGGCGGAGTTCATTCCCAATCATTCCGAATCACTCCGGGCTGACTTATCAAGAATCGATCCTCTGCATTCCTCCCTTTCCGGTGACGACGCCTCTCTGACTACCAGCTGGATCCTCCCTAAGACAGCCATGTGTTCTTCCCTGTTTTCTTCGTCCCATTCTTTTCTTTTCCGACTGTTACACCAGATATTTGCGTTAGACATCGTACATAGTGAATGAGGAATTTAAGGGATGGAAAACATTATTTCTTTCTGTCTTTAGAACTCCAGTAGTCGGTACCTTCCTCTCGTCACGTGCGCTGCCGCTCTCATTATTCAGTCGAACGATTTTTAACTTGTTGCTCCAGGTACGCGGGTGAAAGAGAGGTTGGAAGTGGACAGAAAGGAGGACATGGGGGAGAGGGTGGAAGGAGGTGGGTAGAAAGGGGAGCATGGGGAGTGAGAGTGGAAGGAAGTTGGGAAGTAGAGGAACACGGGGAGAGAATGGTAAGAAGTGGGGAGAGGATTTGTAGGCCTTGGGGAGAAAAGGGAACACGGAGAGAGGGTGGAATGATATGAGGGAACAATGGAGCATAGAAGACAGGGCGGTAAGAATTGGGGATTCAAAAAGATCATGGGGAGAGAGTCATTAGAAGCGGAGAGGTACAGGAGCAAGGATGGTAAGAACTGGTGTGACAATTCAACATGGGGGAAAGGGAATTAACTGAGTGGGAGATAGCGAATGAACTCCTTTCGTCGCCCACTATTGGAAAGCTCCGCCTACATCTTTCATTCATGTGAATTTTAGTCCGCTCATAACAGTCGCCTAACATGCCAGGCTTTTGCTCCGGACTTCAACGGACAAGCACGTAGTTTTCCATCTGCCAAACTCTCCAATTGTTAATTAAAATTTACATGGCTCATGAGATCTGTATCGAGTCAACATGGTTCACTACGATTAAACTGTATTTAAAATAAAATTATTTTGTTTTCTCTCAATTAATGTATACCCAAACTGATTATTTATTTGTTACAAAATTGTAACAACTGGTATTAATTACAACATTAAAAACATACTCAACAGAATAAACCCACTTACATATCAAAGAAAATATTTTGTTGACCCAGTACAAAAAATACCAAGAATAATGTCATTAAAATATTCACCATTGAATAAAACTTAAATTAAGATCACTACTTATCTTCTTTAAAATAAAATTTTTGTAGATTATTTGTGGCGTGTGATTTATTTGCCTTGTGAGATTCCTCTTGAGGGTTAAGGATCTGATCTTTTATATTTCATTTAATAACACGTAAAGGTAAATCAAACATAGAGATATGATGAAATTCATGAAGACAAAGCATTAGAAACTAAACATAAACTAAACACAGAAAATATATTATATTAGTATATCTTTCTATCAATCAAAATTAAAATCTAAGTTGTCATGAATAGGTTTTGGATTAACGGTTCCACCAATAAACTAAACACATACATGTACGCATATATAAATGTACATGCATAGGTTTATAAGTAAAAAAATACATATATATATATACATATATATATATATACATATATATACATATACATATATATATATATATATATATATATATATATATATATATATATATATAAATATATATACATATATATATAAATATATATACATATATATATAAATATATATACATATATATATATAAATATATATACATATATATACATATATATATATACATATATATATAAATATATATACATATATATATAAATATATATACATATATATATAAATATATATACATATATATATAAATATATATACATATATATATATATATATATATATACATATATATATAAATATATATACATATATATATAAATATATATACATATATATATAAATATATATACATATATATATAAATATATATACATATATATATAAATATATATACATATATATATAAATATATATACATATATATATAAATATATATACATATATATATAAATATATATACATATATATATAAATATATATACATATATATATAAATATATATACATATATATATAAATATATATACATATATATATAAATATATATACATATATATATACACACACACATATATATATATATATATATATATATATATATATATATATATATATATATATATATATATATATTGGGTGCATTAGTTCTGAGATGAACTTATCAGAGGCTACATAACCTCTCCACAACATGAGCCCCAACGGCCGCTCGCGCGCCCGGACGCCCCTGGGGCTGCACCGAGCCCCCTGAGCCCTCGGCCGGAAGCCCCGCCGCCCTAGCCCGGCCCTTACCTGCACCTCGGACACCATGTTGCAGGGGACGTATCCGTGCCTGCCGCCCAGCTCGCCCCAGTAGAAGCCGTCGGGGTCCTTGTCTCCGGTGACCTGGATGAGCTGGCCCTCGCGGAAGCCCAGCTCCTCGTCGCAGGCGTCGGGGTTCGGGCTCATGGTGGGCGGGTCGTAGTCGAACAGCGCCACGAAGATGCGCGTGTGCTGGTCCCCCTGGCCGCCGCCGCCGCGCCCGCCGCCGCGCCCCTCGCCTCTGCCGCCAGGGTAGTCGCGCCCGTATTCGCCCCGGTGCCGCCCGTCGCCCTCGTAGCGGTCGCGCATGTCCCTCGGGTCCCTGGGGTCCCGGTGGGCGTGCGGGTCCCGCATGTGGGGGTCCCGTCTGTCGCGGGGGTCTCTGGGGTCGCGGCCGTCGCGGTAGTGCGGGTCGCGGGGGTCCCGCACGTCCCGGGGGTCCCTGGGGTCGCGCATCATGGGCCGGTTGTGGTGGGGCGGGGGAGGGGGCCGCCCGCGCTCCAGGTGCGACCGCGGGGGCGCGCTGCGGGGGTCGAAGCGCCCGCGGCCGCCCTGGCTCACCTCGTAGTCGTCCTCGAGCGGCGGGTGGGTCTCGCTGGCGGGGTCTTTGGTTATTTCTGTAGAAAAGGGTTCAGTAATTCACAGCCCGCAGGAAATGGACTTCGGATGCAATGCTAGTCTACCATTACTTTACAAGCCTGAGATTAAGTCGGAGAGCCTAAACGTCAGTGTTAATCGCCAGCACAAGTCTGCTCTACTAAAACTAACAAATACACCCGTGAGGCAGACAAACTATATATCTACAACCTTCTAATAGTTACCTTGCTACATTGAGAACGATTTGCCAAAGCCATTGAAGACTCTTACCAATTCAGATCATCAGCATAATGCAAGAAAGAAAAGAAATACTCCGCAATCCTAACTGGGCATTCGGTCAAGTGCACTAAGACTAGCGAAATTTTTTAGTAAACTAGGCAATGGTTAGTAAACTAGGCAACGATTAGTAATCTAAGTAATGGTTAGTAAACTAGGCAATGGTAAGTAATGTAAGTATTGGTAAGTGATCTAAGTATTGGTTAGTAATCTAGATATTGGTAAGCAACCTAGGTACTGGTGGCTACGCTATCACTGTGACAATATGTCTCATTCACAGTGGGGGGGGGGGGGGGGGAGTGTGTGCTTTGCTCCGTGGGATTGGTACGTTTCATCAAATCATTGAAAGAAAAAGGAATGAGTGTCATAAAACGTTATATTTTTGTGGCGGGGGTGGGGGGGGGAGGTGAAAGTGACCCCATATGAAAGTATTTCAAAATGGGTTTTAAAAAAATATATATAAAATAACGAGGGGAAAAATGAGTGAAAATTCAACAAATCCACAGCATCAGTGAAGGGGAATGACATAAGAGAAACAAGGGGGAAAAAATCAAAACTTGCTGAGCGGATGTGCAAGAGAGATGTATGACAGGGTGCTAGAAAAAAAAAAAACAGGCGAATATGTGCAGCCTTGCATATGCAATCCCTGCAGGACGGTCGCTCTAGCAGGTCCCTTTGCAAAATGACATCTGGCTATGCAAATAACGCTGGGGGGGGACCACGCACGACAAACGATCCTGGGGGAGGGGAGGGCAGAGGGGGGGGAGGCTCAGAAGGAGAAAACACCATCTGTGGGGAGGGAGTGATATGGGGGGGGGCGGGGAGAGGAACTACCCGCAGGATTACCAGTGACAGGAAGTAGAACAGGGAAGAGGGAAGAGTGAAGACAAACTGACAGCCAATTCCCCCCTAACTATCAACCAAAAGGCATCGGGGGGGGGGGGGGGAGCTGTTAAGATAAGGGGGCATAATAAGGACAAGCAACACTGAGAGCTATACACTGGCTGATAAACTTGACGTGCAAAGGTTAAATAACGTACTTTCTATCCGTCCTTACGAAATGCAAACTTTTATAAGGGACATCCAAGCTCATCTTACCCAGATCTTTCCCTCACATAGAGTAAACATCATTTATACAAAACTACGTACTATAATCTCCTAATAAAGAGACTTGTTATGCCTTTGAACAGGATCCTAATGAATCATCGGTGTTAAAAGAACTCAAAACTAAAATTTATGTGACAGTTCACAACAAAGTGATGTGGTTTAGCCATTGGGGAAAACAATGGTGAGAAATGTGTTATCAGTCTCACTCCATTGCAAAAATAATGCTTTCTTTAAAGTGAAAGAAATTAAACAAAACAAATAAACAAATATAATTAAGACCTTACATTCAAATTAAGAAATATATGCTTCTTTGATTTTTTTAAATTATGAATTAATGTAATAGATTACAGCCAATTACGATATATGCAAGTTCAATCTTAAATTTTGACTTAAAAATTTCCAAAATAAGGGGAAAAAGAACAAAAAAAAAGGAACCAAAATCCCAGTGAAGAACAACAAAAGTTCCCGCCAAAATTCCAGATTAAAAAAAAAGAGAATAATAATAGAAATAAAAAATAATAAAAAAAAAACAAGACAGCGTAAGGAATTTTGAGATGAACCCCGAAGCACGAATTTCCTTCAAAATTCCCTTTTATTTTTTGGGTTGGTGTTGTTTAAACCTTGTGATAACGTAACGCATACTTACGTCTGGCACGGGAGACGCCTTTGCCTGGTAGGGGAAAGAGACATTTCAGCCTTGGACACAAACATGAAAGTGACAAAACTCAAAACATAAAAAAAAATAATAATTAAACAATTGAGAGAATAATAAAAAAAAACAGAGATTAATATGGAAGAAAATAGCATACTGTCATAGTAGTCAAAAGTTCTTTGAGCTAGAGAAATGATTGAGTATATATATGAACGAGTGCTATAATAGGACATACAAGAGTGAGTAACACTTCTCTGCTGTGGTTGCTGAAGCCAAGAATTAGAAGAGCAGAGACAAGAATAAAGAACAAAGAGAGTACACGTGAGAAGTATTGCAGAGACTGCACTGTAAGAGACAAGACTGTTGCTTATATAATAGTGATAATGATTAAAAAAATGTAAATAAAACGGACAACAACAATGACAATGATTACCTCCACTACCTGGTTAAGGAGTAAAACAAATATGTAAATCACAACAAAGCATAGACATTGAGTATCTCCAAAAAGAGAACAACAAATACAAAAAAAAAGACAAAAAAAAATATCACTGACGACAATAACAACGAAGAAAACGGGAGATTAGCTCCTCGTCCATTCGATGGTGTATTTTTATTTAAAATATCGCTTTCTCATGAATCGATACTCAATGTTATTCATCTGATATACACACTGATTGATTGCTCGGCCTCTCTCTCCATGCTTCTATCTACAAACAAAGCCACAGTTGCCGTTAAGTATGTACACAATGTCCGTCTGGTTTTCACTAAGATGGTCAAGAAACTGCCATTGATGTTAATTATACTTGGTTAATATATGGCGGAAGAGAGAAAAAAAGATGATCTTGGATGAATAATATATATACATATTTTTATAAGGAAAATGGCAAGGATATATTTGTATCTTATTTACACATGGCAGTCACAAAGTCGTGCTTTGATCAAATGTAAAACTCAAGTCCATATTTAGCCTGGGTAATGATAATGGCAAAGAGCGTGCAATTAATTAGTATTGAATGGGTGAGCACATAGTAGCGATTTAAGTCAGTAATATTGTAAACGTAACTTAAAGAATCAACTTAACTTTCGAGCAATTTTTGAGTTTAAATTTACGAAAAAATAAAAAACACAGTTGTTACAAACGTACAAACTAAGGGCAAGACATTCATTTCACATATATTTATTTTTTTAACAGGAATCTCAAGCCATCATGTCTTGTCACTGGTCATGTTGCAATTTCAACTCGTGGCAACAGGTAATAGCGAGAGGCCGAACATCCACTGAGTTTGAATCCACACATTGCATCTGTGTGTGTGTGTGTGTGTGTGTGTGTGTGTGTGTGTGTGTGTGTGTGTGTGTGTGTGTGTGTGTGTGTGTGTGTGCGTGTGTGTGTGTGCGTGTGTGTGTGTGTGTGCGTGTGTGTGTGTGTGTGTGTGTGTGTGTGTGTGTGTGTGTGTGTGTGTGTGTGTGTGTGTGTGTGTGTGTGTGTATGCGTGTGTGTGTGTTTGCGTGTCTGTGTGTGCGTGCATGTGTAAGCGCGCGTGTGCTTGTTTACACGTGTGTACATGCGCAGTCCCACTTAAAATACCTGTATTAGATACCACGCAATTAACACCACATTCAACATTCACTGCACATACAAACGAATCATTACACGCTGTAACAATCAACGAACATAAAACCCAGTCAGAAAAAATACACATTTAATTATTCTATTAAAATCTTGCAAATACGTTTGAAAGCAATAACTAACTGGGCCTTATAGTCGCCGCAAAGCCAGCAATAGTATTAAGTGCTAAATGGCAGTTATTTGCGAGAAAGTGTGCAACAATGAGAGAGAGAAAAAGGAACATGGAAGTTCATATATAGATTAAGAGAGAGAAAAAACACATAGTTGAGTTCCAAGGAAATACTTCCAAAAAAGTCGAATCTGTGAGGGGAAAAAATATACAGATCTAATCCCTCGGAATTCTACAATAGATATTATCAAAGATCTTACACTTCTACAATAAATATTTTTTACACAATATATATATATCTTTAAAATTATTTTCTTTTTTCTTACCGATATCATCATGTAAGAAAGCATCAGTAATATTAACTGTATCTTCTATTGTCTTATTCATATACTTAATAATTAGTTCTCACCACTAGTAAAAAAGAGTAGCAGTTGTATTAACACTACTTTGTCAGAATAATTCAATAAATGCACAAGAACAATTCGCCAATGCTACACCTACGTTTTAATCATGGATCATATAAAACTACTTTCCAAAATATCCAATAGTATTCTACAAAGAGACAGCTAAAGAAAGATATTCCTTTTTTTTGTTAAATACATGTAAAGTATTACGAAATCTATCAAAAGTCTTTTCTAAGAGAAAAAAACAAACAAACAAACAAACAAACTAAGAAACTGCATCGTGAAAGGGGGGGAGAGATTTCATTCACAAGAAAAAAAAAGAAAAAAAAATCGAATTCAAAAATAGGTGTAAAATAAACTATGTACAAATCTGTTGCTTTGTTCATTATGGACGACCAGCATTCGTTACCTTTCAACTGACCTATTGTATTGAATAAAGAGCTAGAGAGCCTGGCGAGGCCGCTTCTCGCTGGGCCTGCCCCGTGGAGGCCCGCCAAGTGTGAGGGGAGAGGGGGGGGGGAAGAGGGGAGAGAAAGAAGAGAAGGGGAGTCATATTTTAATATTTTGGTGAGACGTTAAATTAAGAAAAAAAGGAATGAGTGGTAAGTAATTTCAAATAATAATAATAATGGTAGTAATAATAATAATGATAATAATAATAATAATAATAATATAGTGCACTGTAGAGGATCTTCTATAAATTATGACATAAGGAAGCTAATGTGGAATATAATGCTAATTTTTTTTTTCTGCCTTTTTGTTAGCTAAGTTAATTGAATCATGTCATTCCTTGCAACTTGCTATCTAAGTACACTTTTTATGGTGATTTCCCAAGAACTTGACTGAGAAAGGAAATATGACCTCATGAGTTGAGTGTCTGCCAAGCAAGAGTCCGCAAGTGTTCTGTGATCAGCAGTATAGACTGAGCGGCAGCAGGTGAGCAGAAGGAACGCGAGGGAGGCAGCGGTGCGGCGGCGGTCCCCTCGCGCCCAGGCATGCTCGCCCGCCTCGCCTCCTCACGCGGGCGTGCGAGGGTCGTGGGCGGCTGGGCGGGGAGAGGAGGCTGGCGCACGCCGCGTGACTCACCTATGGCGGGGATGGACGTCTGCGGGGCCATCTGGCCCTGCTGGTGGCCCGGGTAGATCTCCTTGTCGCTGAGGTTGTCCTCGTGCTCGAGGATGGTCTGGCCGAGGTGGTCCGTCCGCACGCCGGGCGCGGGGGCGCCGCGCCGGCCCAGCAGCCTGTCCCGCAGCCCGCCTGGCCCCGTCGGGCCGTGGTGGGGCCCCCCGGGCGGGCCGTGGTGCGGGCCGGGCGGGCCATGGTGGGGGCCGCCGAGGCCGTGGTGCGGGCCGGGCTTGTGGCCGTCGGCATGCATGTCCTGAAGGTGAGGAGGAGGGAGGGTGTGAATGCGAACCACGACTCCAGCGGCCAGCTACTGCCGGCCGCCGCGTGCACCTGGCGGCCGCTCCGCCCGCGCCCCGCTCCCCGGGCTCCCCCCGCCCGCCCCCGCCTCCCTCCCCGTGCCCCCGGCCCCAATATTGATCTACAGGTCGCCCTGAAAATGACTACTTCACCCTACTTCCCGCCCCATCCCCCCCTCCCCCCTTCTCACCCGCCCCACCCATGCAGCCGGGCCTTCGGCAGAAAATAAACAAAAAAGAAACAGAACATCGCATGCAGTTTTAAACCTCCACTTACCAATAACGTTTCATTCTTCTTTCTTTCACAGACATACCTTGAATCAAGACAGAAAATGAACACAAAAAAAAAAGAAACAAAAATAAACAAAACTGGCCCCGATATCCACTAAATAAGGGTAAAATTTAAAAAATAAAAATAAAACAGAAATGAAACAAAAGACGCAGCCCAACCGTTTCCCACCACCAAACATAAAAAGGAAAATCAAAACAAAGCAAACGAAAATAAAACGAGTGCAGGAGAGAAAATAAAGATGCAAATAAAAGAGAGAGAGAGAGAGAGAGGCAGAGGGAGAGAATGCGCCGTCCTTTTCCTCTCTTCTGTCTCTTCGCTTCTCTCCTCTGTGTACCTTCTTTCTCTCGTTCTTTCTCCCTCTCTTCTTTGGCTGCCGACGAGGGAGGAGGAGGAGGAGGAGGAGGAGGAGGAGGAGGAGGAGGAGGAGGAGGAGGAGGAGGAGGAGGAGGAGGAGGAGGAGGAGGAGGAGGAGGAGGAGGAGAAGGAGAAGAAGAAGAAGAAGAAGAAGAAGATGATGAAGATGATGAAGAAGAAGAAGAAGAAGAAGAAGAAGAAGAAGAAGAAGAAGAAGAAGAAGAAGAAGAAGAAGAAGAAGAAGAAGAAGAAGAAGAAGAGGAAGAGGGGGGAGGAGGAGCAGGAGGAGTAGGAAAAGCAGGAGCAAGAGTAGGGAAAGTAGGAGTAGGAGTTGGAAAAAGCAGGAGCAGGAGGAGCAGCAGTAGGAAAGAGCAGGAGCAGGAATAGGAACAAAAGCAGGAACAGGAGCAGGAGTAGGAATCTGAAAAAGCAGGAAGAGGAGCAGGAGTAGGAGTTGGAAAAAAGCAGGAGCAGGAGTAGGAAAGAGCAAGAACAGGAGCAGGAGCAGGAACAGGAGTTGGAAAGAACAGGGGCAGGAGCAGGAGGAGTAGGAGTAGAAAAGAGCAGGAGCAGGTGGAGGAGGAGCATGAGCAGGAAAGAGCAAGAGCAGGAGCAGGAAAAGGAGTAGTAAAAAGCAGGAAAACGAGGAGGAGGAGGAGGAGGAGCATGAGTAGAACAGAGCAGGAGCAGGAGTAGGAGTAGGAAAAAGCATGAGCAAGAGGCGGAGCAGGAGTAGGAGGAGGAGCATGAGTAGGAAAAAGCAGGAGGAGTAGGAGTAGGAGCAGGAGCAGGAGCAGGAGGAGGAGCAGGAGGAGGAGCATGAGTAGGAAAGAGCAGGAGCAGGAGGAGGAGCAGGAGGAGGAGCATGAGTAGGAAAAAGCAGGAGAAGGAGTAGGAGTAGGAGCAGGAGCAGGAGCAGGAGGAGGAGCAGGAGGAGGAGCATGAGTAGGGAAGAGCAGGAGCAGGAGGAGGAGCAGGAGGAGGAGCATGAGTAGGAAAGAGCAGGAGTAGGAAAGAGGAGGAGCAGGAGTAGGAGGAGGAGCAGGAGCAGGAGGAGGAGCAGGAGCATGAGTAGGAAAAAGCAGGAGTAGGAAAGAGCATGAGCAGGAGGAGGCAAACCTCGTAGTTACCTCGTCAGACAACTCAGTCTCACTCTCCTCGGCGATGTCAGACAGCTCCGACGGCCGGTCCATGTCTGAGTGCAACAGAGCCTCATCCTCTTCTAGCTGTCGGGAATGAGGGGAGAGGGAACTAAAGCAACCAAAATAAACAAATCAAAAATCAAAACAAAAACAAAAAACGGAAAAAAACGAAACAAAAGAAAGATAAAAAGAGGGGTGGGTGGGGGTGGAGGTAGGGGTGGGAGGGGGGGGGTAATAAACGCATGAGCGGGAGAAGGAAAAGAAACAACGGAAACATAATTAGCGATAAGGGTAAATAAATACGATAAACGGGCGTAAATTATAAATGGGGATATACTTAACAGCAAAGGAAAATTACATGTAAATAAAAAAACTAAAGAAAAAGGGAAATGCAAAATAACTGCCTAAAATACACAAATAAAATAGATTTATACATATAAAAAAATAAGCGAAAGATGGCATATGATATATGATATATATGACATGATATGAACATAAGAAGAAAACGGACAAAACTGCTAAAAAAAACTCAAGACAAACAAACAAAACAAAGAAAATGATGAGCACTGTTGAACACTAACTACGAAATGATGTTTTTGTTTTCCGAAATTTATGCAATGTTGTTGTTTCTCAGGATCCAGCTTGATGTTAGTCTAGCAATATGCTTGTTTGTGTATCGTGCAAATGTGTTCCTCATTTTCCTTATCATTATCATTATCATTATCATTATCATTATCATTATCATTATCATTATCATTATCATTATCATTATCATTATCATTATCATTATCATTATCATTATCATTATCATTATCATTATCATTATCATTATCATTATCATTATCATTATCATTATCATTATCATTATCATTATCATTATCATTATCATTATCATTATCATTATCATTATCATTATCATTATCATTATCATTATCATTATCATTATCATTATCATTATCATTATCATTATCATTATCATTATCATTATCATTATCATTATTACTATTGCTTTTAATACCGCTGTTATCATTATCATTATCATTATCATTATCATTATCATTATCATTATCATTATCATTATCATTATCATTATCATTATCATTATCATTATCATTATCATTATCATTATCATTATCATTATCATTATCATTATCATTATCATTATCATTATCATTATCATTATCATTATCATTATCATTATCATTATCATTATCATTATCATTATCATTATCATTATCATTATCATTATCATTATCATTATCATTATCATTATCATTATCATTATCATTATCATTATCATTATCATTATCATTATCATTATCATTATCATTATCATTATCATTATCATTATCATTATCATTATCATTATCATTATCATTATCATTATCATTATCATTATCATTATCATTATCATTATCATTATCATTATCATTATCATTATCATTATCATTATCATTATCATTATCATTATCATTATCATTATCATTATCATTATCATTATCATTATCATTATCATTATCATTATCATTATCATTATCATTATCATTATCATTATCATTATCATTATCATTATCATTATCATTATCATTATCATTATCATTATCATTATCATTATCATTATCATTATCATTATCATTATCATTATCATTATCATTATCATTATCATTATCATTATCATTATCATTATCATTATCATTATCATTATCATTATCATTATCATTATCATTATCATTATCATTATCATTATCATTATCATTATCATTATCATTATCATTATCATTATCATTATCATTATCATTATCATTATCATTATCATTATCATTATCATTATCATTATCATTATCATTATCATTATCATTATCATTATCATTATCATTATCATTATCATTATCATTATCATTATCATTATCATTATCATTATCATTATCATTATCATTATCATTATCATTATCATTATCATTATCATTATCATTATCATTATCATTATCATTATCATTATCATTATCATTATCATTATCATTATCATTATCATTATCATTATCATTATCATTATCATTATCATTATCATTATCATTATCATTATCATTATCATTATCATTATCATTATCATTATCATTATCATTATCATTATCATTATCATTATCATTATCATTATCATTATCATTATCATTATCATTATCATTATCATTATCATTATCATTATCATTATCATTATCATTATCATTATCATTATCATTATCATTATCATTATCATTATCATTATCATTATCATTATCATTATCATTATCATTATCATTATCATTATCATTATCATTATCATTATCATTATCATTATCATTATCATTATCATTATCATTATCATTATCATTATCATTATCATTATCATTATCATTATCATTATCATTATCATTATCATTATCATTATCATTATCATTATCATTATCATTATCATTATCATTATCATTATCATTATCATTATCATTATCATTATCATTATCATTATCATTATCATTATCATTATCATTATCATTATCATTATCATTATCATTATCATTATCATTATCATTATCATTATCATTATCATTATCATTATCATTATCATTATCATTATCATTATCATTATCATTATCATTATCATTATCATTATCATTATCATTATCATT